ATAAATCTCTGTACAAAATCACATGTCCTGAAACTGTAATTTTAAAGACATACATAGATAATACCCCAGGTTAAACTCTTAAAATCCGTGTGAAATCAAACAAGTGGATGGTAAGTTAACTTTAGAAGAGTTAACATCTGCTATTTCTAATATGAAACTTAACAAAATTCCAGGCAAAGACGGTTTAACAGTTGGGTTTTATCGACAATTTTGGCCAAAATTAAAGCATATTGTATTGAATGTTTCTATCACATGTTATGATAATGAAACTCTATCTGACACCCAAAATATTGGGATAATATCATTGATTTTGAAAATATTACTTATACTTTAGCTCAAAGACTAAAACAAATCTTGCCACTTGTCATACACAGGGATCAACATGGTTATGTTAAAAATCGATAACGTACGTCAAATTCAAGATAGTATAGATTATGGTGAAAACTTTAATATTAATGGAGCTATACTACTTATTGACTTTACTAAAGCGCTTGACTCAGTAGAATTAGATTTTATGCCAGAATCAACTTTGGATTTAATGAGTCTTTTCAAAACTATATCATGATAGAAAAGAATGTATTTTAAATACAGGGTGGATCTCTGAAATCTACTGGATTCAACGGGGAATTAGACAATGATACCCTTTAAGTGTTATATAGTTTGTTTTATCAGTCGAAATACTGGCTTATAGAATAAGAGATAATGATGATCTGAAAGGGATACAAATAAAAATTGATAAAAATAACATAGCCAAAAAATCTCACAATTAGCAGATGATACAACTCTCTTTTTAAACTCTAAAGAAGCACTTAATTTAATAGAAGCTTTTGAATCTTTTTCGGGACTTAAACTCAATACAAACAAAACAGAAAGTATATGGTAAGGTAAATTAAAACATGCAAAGACAAACTTGAAAGTGTCAATTGGAAAGATAACGTGAAAAATCTTGGTATTTATTTCTGCTTTAACAAAAAAAAATGAGAAACACTAAATACAGATAAACAGTTTGAACAATCAGAAAAGATACTAAACGATTGGAAGAAAAGAAAATCAAAACTAACACGTAAAAGTATAGATTAAAAGGAATTTTGCCAATGAAATATTCTGGTTTTATTGATAATTATCAATACAGGGAAGACTATTAGTGCCATTGCTGTAACATTAAGGGGATTAAGCCTTTGTTAACAACTATCAGTGAAATAAAGTATCTGAAGTTGAAAAAAAAAGAGTATACAAAGCGAGCAAAAAAGGCCAGGTATGGTGCAACTAGATATGCTAGAGCGTTTCCTGTCCAAGAAGTTTGAACATAAAGGTAAATAAAAAGTGTTCATGCATATAGCATTATCATTACACTTCTCCGAAGGAATGATATATAATTTTACTGTCAGTCTTTCTGTAACATTACAGTGATCACACTTAATCAGCCATTGCTTACATTTACAGAAATGATGCAAGGTCATGCGGCTGGAAAATCATAAAAAAAATAGGTTTAAAAAAAGATCAGAAGAAAACCAGAGATACATATCCTACATGTATATTAACACAAACAGTATCTGTTAGATGACGATAACAAGACAACACAATATGAAACTCTACTATACATGTTTATACCAAGAAAGTGCACTTTTAAAGTAAAAGTTGACTATACCGAAAAATAAGTAAAATCTTTAACCAGACATCACATAGTTTGTTCACTCTTATTACATTAAGTATTGTGTGCAAGAAATCCTAGATGTCCAATAAATTTGTATGTGATTTATGCAGCAAAGTGTCCGGGTGAAAAAAGAGAGAAGACGACTTCAAATTTGATATTGTCATAAACAACGAAGACTCTAGTAATGGATGGTTTATAAATCAACCAATGGGTAAAAATACACCATCTACGATTGTTAATCTTTCAGGAGACGCAGGTATATAGTGTCGTAAAATAAATCATAGTGCTCGTAAAACAGGTATTACAACACTTATTCATGCTGGCTTTTTTTAAGAGCGACAACATTCAGGCCATCAAATCATTATTTCTTTAAAGAATTACTCAAATGCTTCTCTTCAACAACAACAAGATATGTCAAAAGTGCTATGTAAATTCAAATCAAACAGGTCATACATAGTACTGTTTACTTGAATGAAGTTGATCAAATTACTAATAATGATGACGACATGGTATTAGGAAGAGCGTCGCATGAAATTAAAGAAAACACACTGCATAGAACACTTTGCAAGTTTTGAAGTATTTGATATACATACTGATATAGATAAATACAAGATATCTAGCAATTTAGTTCAGAAAAAAACACTGATTTGTTTGTCCGAACAAGTCACATTACGTCTGAGATTTATTCAGTGTTTTCAATACTGAATGGTTATACTGTGAAAGGTAATGTCATAATTATTCACGGAAATCCGGGGTTGAGGAAAAAGAGAATAGTCATGGACAAACTCAGACAAAACGGAAATAGGTCATTTCTAATAGCAGTGGTTCCAACTAAATTGACATTGCTTGTTAAACTTTAAATCTATATATTTCAAATGTGCACATTTCACTCCCAAGTCTCAAAGTTTTAGGTCGTTTGAACATTGCTGCATATTAAATTCTTACAGTAAATAATACGTATGATCGTTTCATCAGACGACCCTACATACATATATTCTTGTATTCACAAGGCCATGTTTTTTTTATTCTTGGGGTTAAATGGCGTGTTTCCGCTCAATTTGCTGGTTGTGTACTATTTATACATCAGTCTTTGAACATGTTGAACTATATTTCAGTCCCACCAAGAACTCCTTAAACGGAAATTCGTTATTTTTGTATTTTTATGTCAGTTTTTTTTTTTTTTGTTTTGTTTTGTGCTTCGTGTTAATCTATTATGTTCAGCCACTTTCATCTGATTTTTAGACCACCTTGCTCACAGGGCCAAGTGATCTTTACTCATCACTTGGCGTCCGTCGTTAACTTTTACAAAAATATCCTCCTTTGAATCAGCTGCGCCAAATATAACCAAAATTTGCCACAATCATCATTTGTATATCTAGTATGAAAAATGTGTTCTATGACCGGGTCGACCAACCAAGATGGCCGCCATGGCAAAAAAATAGAACATAGGGATAACATGTAGATTTTGGCTTTTAACTCTGAAACCAAAGTATTTGGGACATGTGGGAGTAAATCTGACATGGTGTAAAATTGTTTTTCAGGCTAAGATCTATATGCTCTGACATTTTCAGACAAATCGGACAACTCATTGTTGGGTTGCTGCCCCTGAATTGGTAATTGTAAGGAAATTGTGCAATTTTATTTTATTTTCTTGAATATTATTATAGATATAGAAAACCTGGAAAAAGCAATAATGTTCAGAAAAGTAAGATCTACAAATAAGTCAACATGACCGAAATGGTCACTTGACCCCTTAAAGGACTTATTGTCCTTTATAGAAAAATTTTAACACATTTTCGTAATTTTACACAAATCTTCTCCTCTTAAACAACTGAGACACATTTAACCAATCATCATTAAGGTATCTCATTTTAAAAGTATGTCCAATGACCCTGCCTTCCAACCAACATGGCAGACACTGAAAACATAAGGGTAAAATGCAGTTTTTTGTTTATATCTCTGAAACTCAAGTATAAAAGCAAGTGAATAACGGTTGCATTATTTCATGTATCTATTGTAAAAAAAAAGCAGGTAAGAGATACAGGCACCTTGGAGCCTCAAGTTACAATTTGTTCTGGTGTTGTATTATTACGCAGCTATTCTAGGTCAGGGGAGGACTTAACGCTAAAAACCACCAGGTCTTAAGTCCTATTACATTCTATATGTGTTTGCCTGAAGTTTGTCATATACTGCTTATTATTCGATAATTCTTTTTTTTTAAAACAAGCTGTTTGTTTTTTTTATTTTTTTTGGGGGTTTTTTTGTTGTTGTTTTTTTTCAAACATTAGGCACAAGTCATACATGTTCCAGATTAATAATAAATGACTATACGGAATGGAGTGTTCAGATTGTTTAAAACCATCAAACAAGATATGAAAACGGTGTTTTAATGTCCGATATAATGATGACGACAAAATCTGAACTAAACCAGGCAGTCGCAAACATAAATATTCACATATGTGGCATTATACTCGAAATAATATATGTTTAAAGTTTGAATATTTCATACACATATATTTTCGTTGAAGGGCACACAAGTTTACCGGTGGTCAATTCTCGCAAATCGACAATTTTAGGTTCTTATTAAAAGTTGAAGAATTCGATAAGTTAAACAGAATTTTGTTTTTCATAAATGTCTGGTTTGTGGCCTCTAGGTGTAAGATCACTAAATCATAGTACGACACACTCGGTTGCTTACCAAAAAGGATCGATAAAAAATATCCCTTGAATTTGACAGTTGTAGGAAATTAATCCTACATTCCATTGCAGTAAAATATTTTTGGGTCATAAACATATATCTTGGGTGTTTCATAGCACCAATATTTTTTATTTCGTGTTTCTATAAAATATCAGGGTATAAAGTTTGTACACAGGTAACGACGAGGAGAAAATTTGATTGGTTAACTTGTTTATTTAGTTGAAATGTTGTCTATAGTACTGGAAAGTATACAACTTTACTCATGCCAAGTATTTCTTTATTTGGAACAAAGATAGATTCTGCACATTTTTTTTAAAAAGTGCAAATTTAACAAAGACTAGTAGGGGAAAATCAATGGTGGTATTACAACACTAGGAGGAGTTGCATCTTCTGAAATACAACATTTGTCGAGTATCTGAAAGAGACTGAATAAATGTACATATTCATGATATACATGTATTATAAAATGATTTTATTTTTTAATTGCGAATGTATTTTTTTTCCTTTACATAGTGTGCAAAGCTAGAAATTGCACATCAAACATGTCACAGAAAAAACAACATCAAACACGCGATCAATGTCACGCTAATCTGTCATTTGCAAAATATTATATAACATGTAGAATTATCGAGATTTAGTTTGTAAATATATGAATCGACAGCTTCAAAATGGTATCATTGGTATTACTGACCAGCTATTTACTTGTTTTGGCATCGGTTGGTATTCAGGAGTGCAGTGCCAAATGGAATGGTAGGTTTTTTTCTGTTTAAAAAAGGCTATGATATTTATACTTTAATTGCTTGATTTATGTATTGTGGCTATGAAAAAAGATTTAAAAAAAATGTATTTACAATACTGGTTTGAGCGCGCTAAATTAATAAAATATAATTTATAACTCATATTGTTATATCAACTATCATAACTATAGTTAATTTCATAACAGGACTTTTTTTTTTTAAATCATTTCTTTTTTTATAAATTTCTTTGTTTGTTTGTATAGAAAAAACAAGATTTTCCTATAACAGTTCAAAGACACCTCAACCACTATTCTATACAATCGATATTCTTTGATACTTGAAACTTATGTTTCACTACTAAAATATACACTGCAATATTTATTATTTTCTTACACGATCAGCAAAATTAAGTTTAAGTTCATATAATTGCTAATTTCGTCACTCGTTACCATTTTTAAATACTTTGTAGGAAACAATAAACCTGCCTTTTTCGCAACCTTGAAGGATATTCAAAATCTTTATACCAACACCGTCCTGAAGTTTACACGTGTGAAGACCAACATTGGGTATGGATATGATTCCAGAACTGGAAAATTCAAAACACCCAGGTCTGGGGTATATGAATTTAATACAAGTTTCATAACAAATGGCAACAACTGGCTTGAATTAAATTTGATGAAAAATGGAGAATTTATCGTCAGATCACATTCTCACAGGTCCCATGGTTCCACAGGGACTTTAAATGTTATACTGAAACTACGGAAAGGTGACGAGGTATATATTCAACATCCACGTGGTTTTGGTTCAATCTATGGATGGGATTACTCCATGTTTTCCGGACATATGTTATGATCTTATAGTTTATGATATAATCATTAAAATCATAGAACTTGCTATGTACATAATTGTTTATTTTGTTATTGTCAATTGTTGAAAGTAAATCATAGCATTACATTATCAATGTGTTGGTTGTCATGATGGTAATTTAACATAAATGACACATATTCTAGATTCTAGATAGATGACATTGCTATTATAAACACATGACATATGATAGATATATAGTTTTGGTTACAACTTACGTCTTTTCAATAGGTCATATTTCTTGAATTTTATACTGGTTTAAAGGTCTGTCTTAATTTCTTTGAAAAAAGAAAATTATGATTTTGTTCTGATTATCTTTAGGTAAATCCAACTTTCTAGGTTATATGCAAAGAGTTAATTGAACTATGATTTTGCCAAATATCAGCCAGAAATGAACTAATGTCAACCGTAAATAGAACATTTAGCACTGTTATCATCAGACATTTCTTAAATACCTACATTTGTATGCATTAAGGTTTGTCAGTGCCGTCTGTTAGTCCATGCGTCCATCCGTCCTTTGGTACGTCCCAAAATTGATTTGTGTTTTCTAACTTTAGTTTTTGCCTCTATTAAATCATTTGCAAATGCCAAGAAACTTTAACACAATGATCATCAAACATCACATCAAGTTTAAATCAAGTTTCATATGCCGCACTCCCTTTTTTACCTTGCAAAAGCCAAATGTTATGAAACTTATACAAAATGCATATTACCATCTGATACATATCAAGATCAATTTTATACTGCGTCACTTTAATCGATCTCCAGTTATGTCCTTAATAATGAAAAGATAGGTTCAACTTGCAGAAAATACAATTGGAGCCATCTGTGTCCCGTTGATACATACTTTTTACGAGCATACAGAGACAAATCATTTCAGACCTGTATGAATCAATTGTTAATCGGAAGTAGCTTGTTACATCCCGAGGCGGAATGTTCATGTAAGCATTTAGGGAGTGATGTTGAGGGTAGTACTATAAAACATGGAATTTATACGACAGGACATGTTCATCTGCTAGCTTATGGGTGGTGCCTTCATATCGAGGTTGTTTTACTGGTTGACAGGTTGAGATAGAGAGGAGATAACTGCTGAATTAAGTTTGGCCCGTTGGAAGTGTGACTAGTCTTCTCGATACTGGTATCACTTAACAGATATGACATTTTTCTCTGTTCGTTTTCTGAGATAACTTTTAACTGTTTTTGAAATTTGAGGTCAAGAACTTTATCTGATATTAGCTTCAGAACTAAATATTTTCGAGCACTGTGATTTGTTAACGCTTGTATTTGTATATTTCTCGTTCTACCTTCAATGGTTTGAAAATATAACTTTCTCGCCATCCTTTTTTGTGACGAAGAGACTATATATTTGGGAGAGTGTGTCATCCTATGCAGAAGTTATGTATATCTCGTAATCTATACTTTTAAATCAGAAGACCTGAATTTGTGTGTCGCTTCTTATCCTTCAACATCAAATTAATCATCATGCCTGTATGTCCTATAGGTACCATGCAAAGTCGCATTTGTCATTCATTTTTATGATTATTCAGTTTCGTTTTTTTTGGGAGAAAAATGAAAATCGAGGCGTCCGGATATTGTTTCCGTCATCGAACGGACTTTTAAATCATAGACAAGACTTCCGTTTAGGACTGTTTTAAATTACACATAATTTCAATAAGAACTCGGGGACAGGACCAATATTTTCGCGTTGATCTGCGTGCATACTATTACAATATATACAGACTCTATATAATATATCAGTGACCACCGTGCATAATACACTTTGAATTGATAGTAAATAGATAGTGGTCTATATAATATACAAGGGCGTATCCAGGTTGGGGGGGGGGGGGGGCGGATTAGGTACCCCTTTTTTGACGATCAATGCACTTGGATGGGGAATTTTAGTTGGAACCGCCTTCTTTCCATGGGTTGGGAACCCCATTTTGAAATTGGCTTGATCCGCCCCTGACATATCAGTGACCGCTTTGAATTAACAGTAAATAGCAAATATATTTCATTTAAAGTATATGTATGTTCGTACTATACAGAAAAACGCGAAATAATAATAATAATTGAAATTAATAGAGAACAAAAAAATAACAAATTGTGAAAAAAGGGGCAGGGCCAAAATGATTGGCCTGTCCCAAAGTACTTATGACTTAAGAACTCGGGTACAGGAACAATATTTTTGCGTTTATCTGCATGCATACTACTATAATATATATGAACATTGTTGTTTTCGACATGGTGTTGTCAGATTTTATCGGAGCTGTGAAAACATACATGTGTAAGTCAGTAACTGAGATATAACCAAAGTAAATAATGCATGGAAAAATAGTGAAGAGGCCATACATTTCCCTGGTTGGTTATTTACATTTTGTGTCTGTAGACATGCAGTTGAAATACAATTTCCTTATGCTTTACGGTTCCATATATTGCATTATTTTCAATTTCCTTCATTTATTTCGTTTAATTCAAGCGTGTAAATTGGTCGATACCTGTGCTGATGGACAGTTACTGCCAAATGTTATCACATGCCAATAAGCCGGGACTTCTGTGAAAGTATGGAATTTCTGTAATTAAATTTACTCCCTTAGACAAAGATTCATTGTCGGAATGAGCATTTGCTGCAGAAAAAATAGTTATTTCAATGTTATTATTTGGTCATGACTTAACGACTTGTGTGCTTGATTATTAAGGGAAGCAATTCACGTAGAACTTATAAAAAGGATAAATTAACCCCAAACTTGTTGAGTGTAACTGTTGTAGTCTTCCTTTTTCTTCTTTTTCCAATAAATTATTGAATCAAAAAGAATTATTTTTAAATAAATTCCTCCATCAATTAAATCAGGGAATGAGTAAAAAAATCTTTATTAATTCAGTAATTTTGTCAAATTCCTATACAAATCAGTGATTTTATTAAATCATTTGTCAGTCCAGGAATTACACACACCTCTAGAAATTTTAGCGATTTACAAAGTACAAAATTTTAAGTTCTGTTTAAAATAGGGACGAAAGATACTAGAGGGACAGTCAAACTCATAGATTGAAAATAAACTGACAACGCCATAGCTAAAATTAAAAATACAAACAGACAAATAATAGTACAGATGACATAACATTAAAAACTAAAGACTAAGCAACACAAACCCCACAAAAAACTGGGGGTGATCTCAGGTGCTCCTGAAGGGAAAGCAGATCCTGCTCCACATGTGGCACCCGTCGTGTTGCTCATGTTATTACAAATCCGGTAAATAGTCTGCACGGTAGGTCACATTCGTGAAAAGGGAAGGGTAATGTATTTACGACATAAGGAACATATCCGATATCATCTGTGAAACGGTTATTCCATAACGGTCAACCAACTCGTAATGGCGTCTGTCAATATTAAGAAGGGATGATTTCAACTTCACCATTTGGAACTCTGTCACGTGGTGTTGTCATTTTAGCAGTGTTGTTAACATTTCTATATAAGCGGGAAGTTTGTCTAGCAAAACAGGTTCAACCCATCATTATTCTTAAAATGCCCTATACCAACTCAGGAATATGGCAGTTCTTATCGGACAATCTGTTTCTTGTCGTTTGCTTCTGTTGTAGTTCAGTGTTTCTGTTGTTACGTTGTTTTTCTCTTATGGTTGTTGTGTTTCCCTCGGTTTTAGTTTGTTACCCTGATTTTTCTTGCTCAATCGAATTTTGACTATTGAACAGCGGTAAACTACTATTGCCTTTAGTTTTCCTCTTTCGGACTGTTTTGGAATTCGGTTCTCTTCAACATTTTATGTATATTGCTTACTGTCTCGTGCGTTGCTGATGACGGCTATTTCAAACATGTATGTCAAACACAATGACATCGATATTTTGCATATGCAAGAAGTGGTGCCACTCCAAGCTGACTGTCTCGTGCGTTGCTGATGACAGCTATTACAGAAATGCACGCCAAACCAATGACATCGATATTTTTACATATGGGATAACAGGTGCCACTCCGAGCTTACTGTTTCGTGTGTTTCTGATGGAGGCAATTTCAGAAATGCATGCCAAACACAATGACATCGATATCTTACATATGCGAGAACAGGTGACACTCCAAGGTCACTGTCTCGTGCGTTGCTGATTAGGAATATTACAGAAAAAAGTAAAATAACAAAAATACCGAACTCCGACGAAAATTCAACACGGAAAGTCCGTAGTCAAATGGCAAAATCAAAAGCTCACACACATCAAACGAATGGATAACAACTGTCATATTCCTGACTTGGTACATTGTACAGACATTTTCTAATGTAGAAAATAGTGGATTAAATTTGGTTTTATAGCTTGCGAAACCTCTCACTTGTATGACAGTCTTATAAAATTCTATTGTATTGCCAACGATGTGTAAAGAAAACAAACAGACATAACAGGTAAAAGTTTAAAAAATAGGGGTACAGCAGTCAACATTGTGTTATAATCTTAATCACTATAAAACAAAGAAATATGTAACAAAGAAACACAAAAAGGCATATAGACAAAGAAATGCATGCTAAACACAATGACATTGATATTTTACATATTACAGAATAAGTGCCGTTCCTTGTAGACTTTCAGTTGTATTAATTTGTTTTACAAATAGGATGCAAATGTCTCGGATAAAGATCACCGTTGACAATTTTGACTGTTCCATCAATGCCAGAGATCTTTGAGTCAAATGTAATATTACTGACCAATTATTTGGCATGGACATGTCTTTCGAGAGGTATATATAATGTATGATGAACTAAGCTTTCAATCCACGGACAATTTGCAGTGGTGCAGCTGTTTTACTTAGAACTATTTACCTCCAGTGAGGTCAGATCATTGTCTAGTACAAGTTCCAATCAGACAATATCAAATAAAGGCAACAGTAGTTTACCGCTGTTCAATAGTCATAAATCGATAGAAAGAAAATAAATCCGGGTTACAAACTAAAACCAAGGGAAACACATCAACTATAAGAGGAAAACAACGGAACAATAAAAAACGCTGAAGTGCAACAAAAACAAACGTCAACATACATAGAAACGGACTATTTGATAACAACTGCATATTCCTGACTTGGTAGAGAACATTATGTT